TCTTAAGCCATAAAAACCAAATTTTTATTTGTTAGAAAAGAATTAGACGACCATCAAACCGAATCAAACAACAAAGTTGCTGGTAATTTGGATTTGTTAAAATTGATTGGAAATTGTCTCCCTCTCCAACCACCCTCCACCTTCCTCCATCACCTAAAACCGGTGAATTAAAAAAAATATAGACTAAATGTCTAAATTACATCTTTAGTCCATAAGAATAATGTAATCTTGCAAGGATGGTCCCTAATCCAAACTAAAATAGCATTGTCCACTCTTCACCCTAAAGCCTCATTCAGTTGGAACCCTTAAAGACCCATCATGATGTGTCATGCATCCTGGTCTTAATTTTCACAATTTCATACATTCTTATTAAATATTAGTCTATAAACCGTTAAAATCATGCTTACATAATTAAATGATTTTTTATATAAAAAATTTAAAATTATTAATCAATTATTTTAAATAAAATATTAATTAAAAGATTTTTTTAATTAAATAAAATTATAATCATTGATTTAAATAAATATTTGATCTTATAATCTGTATTAATTTTATTTTAATTTTTATTATAATATTATTAATATAATGTAATTAGAGTGAATCTAAATTTAAAGATGGGTAGAAAGCGTATCGCCTTTGACAAAAAATATTCAATTTTTAACTTCGTTCATTTTCTTCAATTTTCAGCAAAAACAATCATTTTTCGAATTTGGGTACGAACTGCCAAATATTCAAAACCTCAGGGACTATTTTCGACAATTCTACCATTTGTTCTCAAATCATACCAAGAATCCCCCAAAATCATACGAAGCTTCAAATAATTTTCGAAATTGGGTGAAAAGTGTCAAGCATTTGAAAATTCAATTAATTTTCAAAGGTAGAGAGGCTGAATTTGAAACATTGTCATTTGTTCAAATCACACGAAACTTTCATCAAACATACGAAAGTTTTGAAAATTTGTCAAACTTTCGAAACTTTGAGGACCATTTTCGAAACTTGTTAATCCTTCAAACAAACACCATTTTACCTCTTCGTAAAAATCCAAAACACTCTTCATTAACGAAATCACAGTTTGTTCAAATACCCAAAAATTTCATCCGACTCCAATAAACCCGTTTTCATACGAATCTAAATCAACAAAAACCTTCGTTTCTTGTTTTAAACTAGTCGGTGTATTCGAACTCCAACATACCCATTTCGTCGACTATCAATCCTTGATTCAGTCTTCGATTATTGATTCCAACATATCGATTTTCTTCGATCATAACCCAAATCAACATTAACTCTTCGAAATCAGAAAATTTGAACCCCAAACTCTATTAATCAACTTCAGCCATCGATATCTAGAATCGTTAACCATTCATCCAAATCAAAAATCCAAACACAGAGACCTTACAGGAACCCTTCGTACATCAATCCAATCGACTAATTCTCCAATAACAAACCATTCGATCCCAAAGTCAAACCAAATCAGTCGCACATTGAACGAACACTCAAAAATGAGTTTGACATCTGAGTTTGACTTTTCTATTTCAAAGAATCATAAACACGAAATTGATGATTCTAACGTCAAATTTCAGATCAAATCGGGATTACTTCACTTTTCTTCATAACCTTCAAGTGTTCTTGATCAACAATTTTAACAAAACTGATTCACTTGATCATTATCGGCCAGCCATAGAAAAACCGATTCACAAAACCAATTTAACAATCAACATGCATTGATTGTTAAGAATTAAGAGAAAAAGATGTATTCATATGAACTTAATTCAAGAAAACTTTCGATTATAATCTGAGACAAAAGTCGTTGATGGCACAACTAGATACATCAACGTACAAGTCGATCTTTGAAATAATTGATGACTTCCTATCTCAATCGATGATATCATATGTTATTAAAAGAACAATCGGATCCAAAAAGTTTCATGAACAGTAAAGGTTATTATGAGATTTGGGCTTAAATCCTCAATGAATTGTAGTTTCAAAATTTGGGCTCTCAAAACAAATGATGAACAGTGACGAGTTTAAGTTTTGGATGCAATTAAAATGTGGATGAGCAATAAAGAATTCGGAAATTTTAGATCACAAAATAATTTTGAGCATTAATTTCGATTCAAATGAACAAATACAATTTGAAAATTGAATCGAACAAACCAATAGAATTGGATCGGACTTTGATCAACGAAAAATTATTGGATCACAACAAATGGGTTTTTCAAAGAAAATTTGATCCAACGAGTCAAAACGATCAAAAATCAAGAATGCAACGTACGATTCAATGAGATTAAGAGAGATCATAGAGAGAGACTCACCAAAATTGGTTCAATTGTGACAAATGTTGCCAAACCGAGAATCGTTCTTCAAAAATCACCTTGATCTTGAATACCCACTCTGATACCAATTGTAGTGACATAAGAACATGGTTTGGCATGCGGAATTAAAGTTTGCACAATGAACATGGTGATTTTGGTGCTAAAAGATATATTCGATCATAGTAATTGAGTACAAAAAAAGGATTTAGTCTGGAACATCATAAATATCTCACTCACTAATCACTATAACTATATCTCCCAAGCACATCTCTACAAGTGGTATGAACTCACCTTATATAGAGGTGTTTACATGTTTCTCTCTCTCACTCTCTAATACTCATTAGTCATAAGGTTAATGTACCACAAACTCATACATGAAGAACTTTGCACCCCAACAACAAGTAGCGAACGCCAAAACAACGAGCCATTTGCAGTTTCTTTAATGTTTAAACTTTGTGGACATCAAATTATTGGTTTTATATGGTTATGTATTATGCCAGAAAGTATAAATATATAAAAATAGAAAAAGATCATAAATTGGGTTGGCCTGACGGTTCAACCGGTTGACCCGTGAACCGGTCATCACACCGGGTCAACTAAAAACCCGGGTTTTAAAACATTGATTACCACCCATATCAGAGAGAGAGAGAGAGAGAGAGAGAGAGAGAGAGAGGTTAATAAGGACTAAGAGTGAAACAAATGGATCTTTTGGACTAAAGAAGTTACTATTGTCAAACCTCCATGACCAAACATGTAATTATTGAGTCTCTATATCTAATTTAATGAAGATAAGCTTTTATGAATCTTAGATTTTTCCCGTTTTCCATAAGCACATTTAGTATTTATATATAGATTAATAGAGTGTTCTTTTAGGAATAGTAACGGTTTCTTGGACTTTTTTTTTTAATAGTAAAGTTTTCTATTTCAAACTTTGGCAACAATTGTTTGTAATGTTAACACTTTTGGTCCCGTTACACCATTTGGTTACAATAATTTCTACAACTTGATAATTTTGGTCCATACTCTAATATTAATTATAGTAAGCCACAATATTCTCTACAACTTGGCAGTTTTGCTCTTTTCTCTAATATTAATTTTCGTTTTTCAACATTTAAGCACCATAGTTGCTATATTTTGTAAACTTTGGTTCATTTTCTACAACTTGACACTTTTGGTTCATTCTCTAGTAGCCATAATATTTTCTACAGCTTGACAGTTTTGATCCCTTTTCTAATATTAATTTTCGTTTTTCAACATCTAACCACCATACTTTCTATAGTTTGTCAACTTTTGTCCCTTATGTATATTCTAAAAAATTGTCTCATAAAAAAACACGAGCTGTAAAATCTGAAACAACAAAGAAAATAATAAAAAAAAATTCCGACCCCTAGCAATGCGAGGGCACATCCTCTGGTTTGTATAAAATGTTTTTAATATTGACACATTGTTTTCCATAAGCACATTTAGTCTTTGTATAAAATGTTTTTTTATATTGGCACATTTAGTCTCTATAATTTTACAATATATAGAAAATGTCCTCTGAGGTTTTATTTTTTACAAAAACAGTCTTTAAGGAGGAGGGAGTCGTTCCCTCCCAACCTACTACCATATCACTTTTTCTCTTTTATTTTTCTTCATTTTTTCCAACATACAACATACGGAAACTCTATCTTTTTGAACCCACTCAATTGAAAATAATATAAAACAATCAAAAATAAATCTTATTTAACAATAGAGTTATCAACAGTACAACTTCCGCTTTAACGAGTGAGTTGATTGGTTTCACTAACTCACTTCATTATCTCTCTCTACCTTCTCTTTTTTATTTTCTCTTGTACCATGTGTTTTAAAACTTATACCTTAGTTGTTATATATATATATATATATATATATATATATATATATATATATATATATATATATATATATTTTATTGAGTGGGTTCAAAAAGATAGGATTTCCATGTGTTGTGGATTGGAAAAGATAAAAAAAAAAAAAATAAAAAAAAAATAAAAAAAAAAAAGAGACAAAAATTAAGTGGCAGTGACTTTGATTGGTTATGTTTAAGATTTTGTATGTTTGCAGGAAAAAAATAAATTACAAAAATGATCCGTGTAATTTACAAAAAAGATCATTGTGCAACTTTTTTTTTTACAGAAATGATCAATTTGTTTAAAAAATTATATAAATAGTTCTAACCTAATAAAAAATTTGCACCTAACATCCCCACAAGATAGTCATGTTTCGCTCCTATACTTTTTGGTTTCACATTTTGGCACATAAGTTCTGTATATTTGTAGGTTTATTCCCTATATTTTTCGTAGTTAGGCAAGTTTGTGACTTACTAGTTTACTTTAAAATATATAATTGTTTTGTAAGATTCTTTGTTTTCTTTTATCCAACTTAAATACGTAATATTGTTACACATTTTATAAAAACAAAATTCTATTGATATAAATTTTGTAAGATATTGATATGTATTACACGAAAGATAAAATTGTCACGATTGTTAATATCAACTTTCTTAAAAGTTGAAAGGGATGGTCTTACAGAAGAGGAAGTTTTGAGATGTATACGTTTATACAGCAACAAATTTGTAAGATGAATCCATGTTTCCAAAAGGGATTTTAGAAACAGCATAATTTTAAAATATAGAAGTGGTTCCATGATAAAGATGTAAATATGATTGTTCTTATTATGCGAAAAGTAAAAGTAGTTTTGAGGTGAGGTATAGATAAAATACAAGATAAATAGGGAAATGTGTCATTATGAAAGTAAAAGAGAACAAATCATATGATTCTTGAAGGGAAAACAACTTTGAATCCATAAATTGTAGTGCATATAATTTAATATGTAACAAGCAAGCTCTTTTAATTGTGTTTGATTGAAAATAAATAAAATACCTCAGAGCTTCATATGACCGATACCTCCTTTGAACGACCCGTAAAGAGGCCTCGATCTCCTGAAACTGAAAGCATCTTCAATATTTACAATTTTGCCCTCGCCTGCATCTGCCGTCTCCTCTGTAGCATGTGTGGTCGAGAACACTTGCACACTTAAAGCCTTCTTTTGTGGAGCACCTGCTTTTATATGCTCATCAAAAAATTGGATCATTTCTGCCTTGCTCAACTGCTTCAATGCCGCCACCTGTCTCATTACATTGCCAACGATTAAATTCTGTCTGGATAAATATTATTTTAAAAAGTATTCAAGAAAACGACACAAAGGGCAAATTTGTAAAAACCTCGTGATCTTTCCTATCAAATTTGAGGGTGCCATCTTGGATTTCTCGCCAAAAGTATCCGGATTCTTCTCTCAAGTTCTTGTGCTTCTCAAGCTTCATCTCAATCAGTGCATTAACATTGCTCTGCACCATTATATTATAGATATTCAGATCAATAACAGTATTTCATATTTTCATATGAAAATTCCAAACCGAAAATAATAATTAAAAAACAAGTCTTGTGACCTTGAATTCATCATCTGGCATCTCATAGAGTTTAGTCTCAAACATTTTGAGAAATGCTTGAACCCTTGAATCGATATGTTTAGGGCCCTGTTAAATCCAAGAAACCGGATTAGTATCAATGAATGTCATTGTAATAATTTGTCATACAGTGAATTTTCTCACATATATTTTTGTGTTCTTATTTCTTTATCATCTTTCATTGGGCAAGTTGGAAATGTTTAATACCATTTTCCCAACATTACTCAAGTCATACATATTATACAAATAAATAAATAAATAACATGACAAAGATCACACCTTTACTGTAGATTGTATGATGAACTGCACTCCACGGATGCCAGAATCGTTCCTAATATATTCAATTTCATAAATATTGATTCTCATTAAAAATCCAAAATGAGACTTGGGCCATCATTTATAAAATATAAAAACAAGTGCAAGTGTTTCATATACCTCTGCATAAGCACAGTGATGTAACCAAGCTGCTCAACTGATCTAAGTTGGTGAAAGGCTGGTTGTTTAGCAATAAGAGCAACCAGCTGAAGCTTGATATTCAACTTAAAATCATCCTGATGTACCTGTATATATTAATATTATACACAACATACATACCACAATCAACAATCAACAATCAACAATTTCATTCATCTTATACTTGAAAAAATATGCTTACCTGAATGTAGTGAAGAAGAGCTGAATTTTCATCACTTGGATTCAGACCCTCTTTAGTATAGCAATATGTAACACCCTTTTCTAAGTTGACCACCCTATTTGTCAGATGCTGTGATGGGAATAGAGCTTGAGACAAAGGTTTTGTCCCCTTAAAAAGTACATTTTCAACATGTTGAATCATTAATTCGGCTTCATTCGATTCGATATTCCCTGGTCGTTGGTATAAAGTTATATAAGCTTTAGATAACAAAAGAAGAAAAAAAAAACACGACTGGATATAGTAATGGTATAAAAACCTGCTGCATAGCACTCTATGAAGATTCTTGACAAAATTTGAGGATAAAATCTTGAAAGATGTTCAGGTTCAAGAACTGAAAGAACTTCAAGCTCATCAGTCCAAGGCCATGATCGATCTTTTACAAGTAATGAGCAGTAATACATGGCCTGCTGATATGGCTGTTGAAACTTGTAATTTTCACATTCTTTTATGACCAATTCCTATAAAAAAGGACAAGTAATTACACATGCATACATACATACAAGTAACATGAGATACGAGAAAAGTGGATAGTCATTAACATAAGTAATAACTATACCATTTTTTTTTTACCTTAATCACATTGAACCTGTCCGATTTTACTTCAAAAGTTGTAAATTTCTTAATTACAGTCTCGAGTAAGATCTTCAACTTGTGACTATATCCAGTCAAAGTCACCTGAATCATTAATAAAAACAAGTTCACAAGTAAAGAGTAAGTGTCAAGAGACAAGATATCAATAGTAATAGTAATTGTTATAAAAAAAAAAAAAAAAAAAGAAGTTTTACAATATTAATCAATTTCAACAAATATGTATAGCTGTCCAGATTAAGTGCTTAACCTATTAAGGTCATTAAGTCAAAAAGAAATAACCCCTAAAATAAAATACTATAACTATAGTGAGAAATTGTTTACCTGAAAACCATTATCTGTGTGAGAAATGGCATAATACAGACCAGCAACCTGAGCATCATAAGCTGAAATGTACAAATAACAAGTATTAATAATGTAATATGTAATACCACAATAGTAAACAAATAAATTTGTGAGTTAAATATTATATCAAACAAAAATCATAAAACAGATGCTGTAAAGCTATTTATCAAGTAAAATCAACCGAAAAGTAGATTTAAACTTGTATTGTGACTAACACTAACCGTATTCATTCAAGTAATCCATCAATAACCGTGTAGAAATATCAGTAAGAACATTTGCTTCAGGGGAACTGCCAGTAAATGGGCAGTAAAAATCCAACTTAACATATGCTTTTGGAGTAGAAAACGTTGTGTCAGGCTTATACCACAGCCTTGAATATTCTGATTTCCTCAACAAAACAGGAATATTCACCTGTTTAGAATTTAAAACACCACAACAGAGTTAAATTGGAAGATAATAAGATAATGAGATACGACTTCAAAATTATATCACCAATCACAATTCACACCTTTTCTTTCAGACTCTTAATTGACAAATCAGTAGGTATGAACACATTAGGACTGGGCAAATGTAGGTCTTCTTCAGGAGCTCTTTTCATCCATTCCTGTAATTTATTTACACGTGTGATATTATAAATAATTTTGATTACAAAGTCAAACACATGTAAAGAAAAGTGAAAAGTAATACCTGAATGGTGGAAGCGGTGATTTTTTCAACAGAAAATGCAGTTCCATACCATGGCTCTGTCAGCTCAGTATGTCCATCAAAGTTTGTTGACTCCCAAAAGATTCTGGAAACAGAAGGGCATAATTGAGAAATCATATAAATTTAACAAACTCATTGATAGATGATATGCTACCTGACATTGTTTGGTGTGAGCTCATTTAGTGCAGACTGAATAACTTCAGGGGAAAAAATGGAAGGTAAAGACGATCCAACTAGCCAATCTTTTGAAGGGTATAACTGCAATGTTGTTCAAATAAACAACACAATAATTTCATATATAAGTTTAACTTGCCACAAAAGATTGCTAAGGTTTCTAAAGCAAAAATATGATCATGACACAAAGGTGCAAAATACCTGCATATTTGATGAAATTTTCACCACATAATCAATTGGAGGAATCTTATCCTGATAGTGGAAAGTCATCTCACAGATTGCAGAAAGCTATATGGATCATATATCAAAATAACATCATTAGAAAATTGAAAAAGCATGAACATGATATGATAATATTTGCTGGTACCTCATCAAAGATCCACTTGCAAACACCAGATTGTTGCAAGAGTGTAATGTATTTGAAAAGGAGCCCAATTATAAGTTCAGCATTTTCTGGTGTTTTCATGAAACATATATTACACATGATGTCAGTATCTATTAAAAATGAAAGAAACAAACACACACACACACACACACACAGAGAAGAGTGGAAGACTAGAAACACTGACCATGGCCAGCATCAGTTAATTCAATGACCACTTTAAAGAAAGAGAACTCCATAGTCCAGTCTGATTCACCAGCAGATAAGCTTGTTGCCCAACCCAATTTCTTCAAGACATAGAAGAGGGATCCTTCTCCTTCATGACCAATTAAGTGGCCAAGATACCTACTTGGCCCTTCCATGTAATGATGAATGCAAGGTGTCATTGGCCATGTAATTCTCAGCTTGTGACCACGTTTTACAGGAACAGTTTTCACAATAACCTGATAAATAAATCCAAAATCATACAAATGATACATAAAGCAAAAGAAGCTTGCTTTAAGGACTCAGACCTGAAGATGTTCAGGGGTGCATGGTTGACCAGGGAAACTCGGATGGATGCGGTCAATATTCCTTATTTCTTGGAATTTGCTCAGTACTCTGTTCTCAATTTTATCCAAGCTTTCTGGAGATGATTATATCATATAAAAATGCAATGGGTAGATGATATTTATTCATTAAGGCTATAAAAACATGACACATGCATACCTTTTGCATATATAACAAGATTCATGAGGTTGGCTGAGTAATTTTCTTTGTAGAATTTGAGGAGTTCATCTCTTGTATCTACCCCTCTTGCCTTTGGCTTTACCTCAAGTGTATCCCAGTTCCCTATGAGATACAAAACAATACAGCTGTTATTTAGCAGTTTCAGAAACCTAAATTTAATACAGATATTCCATGATAAATGATCTTTTACAGATTTAAACAAGAAAGAACGTGAAATACTAACCTGTACTGAACTTGTGGTATGGATGACCTTCTTCACTAAGATGTTTTTGCAGCTGCAAAGTATAATTAAGGCAAAGAAGGAAGTTAGATATATTTTTATAACGAATCAACTTAACCACAATCTTGATATGTGAAAATCAACATTACCTGATTTATTCTCCATGCATCAGAGAGTAAATTCTTCTGATTCTCTGCATACAAGAGTGGAAAGAGGTTGTGACTAAAAGTACACTATAATTGAACAACCAACTTGTTAAATCAATGCTGACCAGAGTCAACGGCTTTTATTTCCCTCGTAGTTGCATCAGATGACATTAGTGGTTTGATAAAGAACTGTGCAAATCTATACAACAAAAGACACGATATGAAAACAGATTAGTTTGAATTCTGCAAGGACAAAATGGGAATGCCATGAACTAATTAAAGAATTGTCAAAAACAAGTGAAATGTACCTATCTAAAGCCTCTTCAAAACAGTCAGCATTAACATCAAAGTAGTAATTGGTGTGCTCAGAGGATGTATATGCATTGGTACGACCTCCATGCTATAAGTAGGTAACATATATCTGAGTAAGTGTAATTATTGGATCTGATAATAAGCTAGACAAGAACAGATCATTATATGCATCTCTGTGATTCATCTTCTATGAAAGAACATGAGTACCAAAGGGAAGAATGACAAAGTACAATATCAAGTACCTCGGATATGTATGTAGAATAACTATCCTCCAAAGGGTACTTCTCACTTGCATAAAACAGCATGTGTTCTGCAATTCAATTTTAAAAGAATTAAAATGAGCTTTAAAACATCGGACTCATCAATCTTGAGTTATATTCTGACCTCCAAAACTGAGTATATAGATAATTGTATGAAAATTATAGTCAACAAATCAATTGCAAATGCAACTATGTGATCATATGGACATGTTGGCTTCCCAAAGATTGCATTTCAAATGAATTAAAATTATTGCCTCAAGAGGGTGATTTATAAGCCTCAAAGAGGCAGGCACCCTAACTCATCCAGACAGAAAGAAAGGAATAAGAAGTAATTATGATTGATAAGCAAGTTAATTCATGGAGATTTTAAAAGATCGTATTAACATGAGATTTTGATAGAAATTTACAGGTTTTCAAGGTGAAATCACCTATTACCATTGAGATTTGAAAATGACTTCAAACAAGTAAACACCAATTTTTCTCAATTTTAGTATTTCTTATGTATAAATTTTAATTGAAGTCCATATTTTCTTGAATATTTCAAGACTTCATAAATTTCGAAGTAATAAATCAATTCATTCGACCTAAACTTACAATGTAAACAGTTAGGATTATGTTCCTCCATTCACAATCCCAATATCATCATGAAGAACCAAAGTTTTTATATTGATTAAGAACATAATATGATGCTAAACGCTTCCAATGTTTGATGAACATGATCATGATGTCGGATATATAATTTCCGTTTCAAGTAGAGCAGATAAACACAATCTGCTGCAAAAAGAATATATCAACAAAATTGATAGTTGATTAGAGATGGAAGAACAATATGTCGCACCAAGAAAATGAGCAAGGCCTTCGAGACCTTCAGGATCGCTAAACGAACCAACACCAACATTCATCGAGGCTGCACACTGAGAAAACAAATGGATTGTCGATCTCATTATAGTCGGTAGTTATTCATCAACAAAGTAATGAAAAAAACCCTAAAACTGATAAATTTTGGTATGATTGAGTCAACGATAGACCTTATCGGTATCAGGATCACTGATGAGAAGAACTTGAAGAGAGTTGGGAAGGACTATTCTTTTGTAGTCTCTTGTGTCCGTTCGGGGCTTGGTTATCTCCACCACCTCCACGTTTTCCTTTCCGACAGCCATGGTTTCTTGCTGCACCGGTCGTCGTTCCGAGTCTTGTTTTACGGTGGAGATAGCAGCGGCGGAACACGTATAGAGCCCGAAACCAAAACTTGAAAACAACACGTTAAATTTTGTTAAAGAAGTTATAAACAACAAAATTAAAGTCAT